AAGAAGACACGGAGGAAGCGTCCGTTTACGATTGTTACTATAAAAATCGCATGAATATTTGACGCGACGCGTGACAGAAGGAAGATGACCGGCGCCCGGCTGGAATACGGAGGACAAATCCTCGACGATGAAAAATTCAATCGCGAGTGACTCGCGAGCCGACCAAATGCAAATTTTATGCGACCGCCTGACGGCGAGTGCAGAAACGCGTTGCGTGATTCCGACGCGCGCTTGCGATCATAATACACGCGTCCGCGCGCGCGCGCGCGCGTTCCGAGTTTCCCTCTTGCGAAGGGAAAGAAAAGGTGGACATTCCTCGTTGCGCCGAGGGGCGCAGCCCTGTCATTCGGCCGCAACCCGTCTGCTTTATGCTTGAACATGTGCACCGCATTTTACGCATTACCGTACCTCCTCGTTAATGATTTATCCCTACAGGAACAACGCGAGGCTTTTTTTCTCGGTCATACGCGCCGCCGAGAAGAGAGAGCGCCTTTTAACCGCGAATATTGTAAAGAAGAAGAGTGACTCGCGTGCAGTCGAGAAACTCCTCCGTTTATCGTTATTACCTGGAATCGAAATACGTAGAGAAATAGCAGAAACGTGTAAGTTGGAACTTGATAGCAGAGCGTGTGAACGACTTTCGACAATTTTTCTGGTCGGAAAAATCTGAAGGACTAATGGACTGTTTAATCATGACATTATGTAATGTAAAGTCATCAGCATCACCGGTCGGGATGCTTACGATCAACAGGTTGCTACGCGGTATTTACGGTGCGCGTGTTCGACATTTGCGATTAAATGATCGCGTTGTTCTCGCACTGGCTACCATCGCGACTAAAATAACTGCACAAAGATAAAGAAATCGACGGGATTAATCGAGGGAGAGATCGGGATCCGATACCGAGCAAAGTGTCGTGTTTCTGGCTGCTCACTTAGGATCACTGAATGCAGCAGCCACATCCGGTCTATTCAGGTTCATTCACGATCTCGTCGACTCAATGGCGTAGGCGGAGCCCCCTGACAAGGAGTTGGTACTCCATTACAAACGTGGGCATCCCCGCTACCCTTCCTCGCCCTTGTCGCCCGCGCGACTAAGAGGCAGATTTACGTATGCGTGTGTCTGTGCACATTGTATCACCTTCCCTTCTACGGGGAGGGGCAGGGGAATTATTGGCGACAAATCGATCCATTCACGTCCAAAACGTCATTCACTGGACTCGTGTTGTCGCTCGTAAACGGGTTTTAACCAAAATATACGGTATTCTCGCCAGTCCGAGATTAACGCGCCCTTTCTGTCGATTGTCATCGACAATGCTGTGCTTACTCGCCGTTCGGCAACGACTCCTTCGTTGAACGCGAGTAAGTTGACGCGAGGTCTGTATCGAATTGATTGACGAGGGAATGATGAAGTGCCTCTCGCGTCAGCGCGTTCCTTGGCAGACTAGTAAAGTCGCTGCCTCACAAAAACGTCTGTCAATCTGAAGGCTCAAATTGCGCTAACATTTCTTTTAAAGAGGGCTGCTGCTGCCTTTGGAATGCAAAAACATGATGAAAAAGTTCCTCTCATCTTTTTTTCTGATTTTGCTAACTTTCAAAAGAAAGTTAAAAAAAAACAATAGCTTATAAAAGTACACACTTTATGTCTCGATGTTACAAAATATTTTTTAAATAAGAAATTTTATAAAATGAGAATTTTTGTATAATTTCATTTGGAATATTTTTTTCTGTTTCAGGCCGCATTCTTTATGATATACCCTGTAAGGTATGCCGGGATCACTCCTCGGGAAAGCATTACGGCATATTTGCCTGCGACGGATGCGCCGGCTTCTTCAAACGATCGATTAGAAGGAACCGTCAATACGTGTGCAAAGCGAAATCCGAAGGAGGTTGCATGGTCGATAAAACTCATCGCAATCAATGTCGTGCCTGCAGATTGGCAAAATGCATTCAGGCCGGCATGAACAAAGACGGTAATTGAGGCGTTCTCGCGCGAACGCTATTATATTCTCGCCGTCCCTCAAAAATTTGTTTAATATTATATAACTTTCATTATAAAAATAGTTCCAATAGAATTCTTTGTTTCTCTATGAAAATATAAAGGTTTCCGCATCCGCACGTACATTCATCTTACAATAAACTAAATACAATAAAACTAAATTTAACTTATAACTATCTTATCCTTTGTTATACGCAACCTCTCTATTACCAAAATAATTCTAATAATAATTCTATTATTATTATTATTATTTTTCGTTATTACTCGTTTTCTTTCATTATTAATGTATTATACGTCTTGATATATATAGTCGTCTAGAAATTATATTATTTCTCTATAGCTGTGCAACACGAACGAGGTCCACGGAACTCGACACTTCGCAGACAAATGGCTCTATACTTTAACAAGGAACCTGAAATTATGAGTAGCATGGTAGCACCGTCAGCGGCTTTAGATCTTGTTCTACCTAAAGCGCCATCGGAAACACGCGTCTCTATGCCTGGACCATCTCCTCATCCTTCTCTTTCACATCCGGCTTATTGCAATGCGTTGACAATATCGAAGGTACGCTCGTATTTAATTCGATCTGAGTTAATTTTTCTAAATACTTTTATAAAGTATCCATATAATACACATATATTTTTTAGATATTTTTGTAGAATCTAAATAAATTTTTCATAAAGAAATTGAGAAAAGTTAGAGGATTTTTATTTTTAATAATAATAATAATAATTTAATAAAATCTTGGGGGGTCACTATTTACAGATATCACCGAATATTCCGAATCTACAATTGCCGTTTATACCCTCGATCAATCCTGAATCTATATGCGAGCAGGCCGCGAGGTTACTCTTCCTGAACGTGCATTGGGCGCGTAATTTGGTGGCGGAAACGAATCTCACCATGGAGGACCAGCTGACGTTGCTCGAGTCTTCCTGGCGTGAGCTATTTCTGTTGGCCGCTGCGCAAATGATACCGACCCTGGACCCCACGCCTTTGTTACCACCAAGTCCTCAGAGTATTGGGCTCGCGATCGAGGTGACCCATTTCCGTGAGACTTTGGCCGGCTTTCACGCAATGAATCTGGACCAACAAGAGTTCGCCTGCATTAGGGCAATGGTGCTGTTCAAAGCCGGTTTAGACAGTGAACCAGTGTCGAGCAGTAGGAGCACAAGCAGCTGTAACTCACCTAGCCCCGGAAGTCGGCTCAGGGATCCCGGCTTTGTTGCCCAATTGAGAGACAGTGCGCAATTGGCTTTAGGTCAGCGACTTGGAACGTCCTACGGAACTCTCAGGTTCGGTAAGCTGATGCTGCTACTGCCTACCCTGCGCTCCGTATCTGCGCATGCTATCGAGGAACTTTTCTTTAGGGCGACTATCGGTGTGATCCCGATCGAAAGGATCATCTGCGATGTATATAAAGCGTCCTAACGCGACAAATTCATTTGTAAAGCAATATGAAACTTGAAAAGAATCTCCCAAAGCATTTATTTGTTATGTTTTTGTTCTCGCTTATATTAATATTATATAATAATATTATGTACCAATATTTTAGTACATAATATATTACAACATTGGCATTTTTATATATAAACAAAAGATCATTTCTTTAAATATTATTTAAAATTATTTTTGTTCTATTACTACTTAAAGGAATCTAAAAGATTTTATTTTAATATTATCATTTTTTGTGCTTGTACATAAAATGTGACAAACGCAATAACTTAGCATTTTAATTTGTTTGATATTTATTTATAGCAAATTCAATTGACTGCAGATAATACGTTTGATGCATATTAAAGACTTATCACGTTTATAGATTAAGTGGATCATTTAAAATAGAATATTTTGTAAGTTAATTGATCAAGAATATTTAATCAAATGATCAAGACTTAGGTCAAGACTTATTGCAGGTTTTTTTACATTTATATATTGTTTTGTATATTACAATAAATTTTAATATGCATCAGCGTATTTAAAGTGCATCCAATCAAATTTGCTGTTAAAGAGAAAGAATAGAAGAAAAAAGTTATGTAATTGTAAAAAACATAGTATGTGCAAAGAATTACTGTGAGAATGGAATGATTACGATAGATTTAAATTTTATTGACAGGAACTATCGTGGCAAAGTAAAATTTTTACTGTGGTTTTAAAGTTGTGCAAACAATTAATTAAAAAAAATTTATATAAAAGTTTTCAAGAATGAAATACATAAAATATATTGATTAAAAAAAAAACATACGAATGGATCTGTAAATAGAAATGTAAAAATGATGTAGCTTCATTATATTCTGTCTAATTGAGATAAGTAAGAGAGATATCTTATTGTGTGTATCAAAAATGTAAGCGTGTATATAAATAGGATTTTAAAAAAATGTAAATAAAACGTTATACATCTTCAATATGTCTCTTGATATTTTTTTGATATTTTTACCCTGAAGCTCATGTATTTACAATAGATATGGAAAATATACAGATAAATAATAGATAATTATTTTGAATATATTTTATAGCTAAGAGAGATGAAAACCATTCATTATGGAAGCCGAAAAAAGCAAGGGATTAGGATTTACCTTTCCGTTGATCCTGAGGTTTCAGGATCAACAGAATACATAGCATCTCACGGTGATTTAACGATAATCATACAAAGAAAGCTCCTAACACGAGACCGCCAATTTTATGTATTTTTTGCTTTAGGAAAAAGTATAATCACCTACCCAAATATTCCAGATCTATGGAATTTGTCCATCATTGATGTCTTTGTTGAAAACTGTCAATCTTTCATTAAAAAGGAAAGTCTCGCTCTTATTTTATTATTTTCCACTTATCTTTGTTACATTTATTTTTCAAATTTTACGCAGTTCTTTTAATGCTATTCAATTTTCGTTTTGCTGACAAGATTCATCAGATGTCGAAGTCAAAGGTAGAAATTCATGTTGACAGAAATGAGCATCGAGCATGAAAAGGCATCTTAAGAGGCGGTCAACTTATATGCTATATCCTTTTATTTCAGATATTTGTCGAATTGACTTTTATAAACTTATTTATTTTTCGGTATATTTTTCAATTATTCTATAAATTATTTATGAATAAATTTATCCTGAGACATATATGTAATGCTAGATAGAATTTTCTTAGTTTGCAATCACGTATGCATGGAAAGTAAGAGAAATATTCTCGCAAGAATATTCTCACGAAGTTGCGAGATGCGGGACATGTGAAATATATCGGCATTCAGTTCAACTGTGTTTAAGTGACACTCGTTACTCGCATGAGCGAACTCTCGAATGTTGCCACTTACTGGCACTAGTATTTTCTTGTGCTTAAATATGTTTATGTCGATACGCATTTCAATTCTCATCCTGTTGCCTGCTCAAATTGCATGCATGTACAAAAATTTTCCAAATATTTAAAAATATTAACAGTATATAAAAACACGCAACTTGTTTGTTAATTATTAATTATAAGTTATTAATGCAACTTTTAGCTTTTCTATTTATTATTTCTAAAAATATAAAATTTATTTTCATCTGTCTAATATATTACTTTCATCTATCTAATATATTTTCTTATTCTTACATCATTTGCAATGTCAAGAAGTCAATAACAATATGTCATTGCTCTCCAAGGATCATAAATTTTTAATCTTTATACCTGTTCGTATAAATCCTGAAATATTTTGCAAAACTATTATCACCATTTGACTACAACTTTTACCGAAATAGAACATTTACCTGACTAATTCGGCAGCCCATAATCCGCGGCTACTTTTCTTTGAAGGATTCCGTTACATACACACGGTTGAATGCTTATGCATACCTGCTACTGTTTAATTCAAAATCGATCACCCGAATAATTGATTTACCCAACAAGTTCCTTCTATCTTCTATATGTATTTTAATTGATTTTCGATACTTTTGATTTCCTATAGTAGACTTTATTTTGTAAAATTTTTTACATTAATTTTTATAAAATTTATAATATTAAAACCTTGAAAAACGAAAACTTTAATAATTTTAAAATATAATCTTTTATACAAATTATAATATGTATTTATATTTATATGAACTGTAACTTTTTAGATTCATCTTTTAATTAATACAATAATTAATACAATATACAATAAAAATAACTTTTTAAATACAAATAGTATATTGTGTTAAATGTAACATTAACAGATTTCGTTATAACCGCGTTGATGTGATTGCGCAAATCATCGAGCTCTTTGAAAGCGATGAAGGGTGTGTATTACTCAAGAGAAATGGACAGGAGCAATATCGCAGCACCCAATTAACATCTCGATTTAATAAAGTCCTCGAACAGCCGTATGTTACCATTTCCTGCACAAAGTGTCTACCAACCAAAGAAAGAGAGAGAAAGAGAAAGAACCCGCTTATCCTCCCTACATTTCTGAATGCGTGCCTACTCTCGTAATCGAGGAGGCCAACGCTCTTCAGCAAGTAACACTGTAACGTTTCCAGGCGAGTGAGTAATAATCCCGGGACTTCTGAACAACGACGAGCCACTCGGGTGGCAACGAACGCAACAATAAGGATAACAGTGCGGCGGCATTGTAACGTCACAGGTCTATGGCCCGATGTTGTGGAATTCCTCTAGTTAAAATAAAAGGTGTTCCACGGGACACATGCACGATACACGTTTACAGACACTGTGTACTAATACAAATAACAATGTTTTTTAACATATCCAAAAAGATTTTTTTATACATCTTTAAAACAGTGTTTTTTCAAACTATCTATTTATCTATTTTTAATTTATGTAAATTTGATAATAAATTATACTATATTTTTTAAGAAGCATAGAAGATAGAAATTGAAAAAGATTCACGGGATTTAATATTTATTCCGCATATAAGAATGCAACGAAATTTATTTATTGATGTAGAGTTCTCTATGCAATTTCGTGAGGATTACGAATGAGAGGAAATTGATGATTCCAATTGGTGGTTAGTTAATGCATGTATCAATGTGTTGCAAGCGATTCCCACCGGTGGTATATTGGACAGCACCTTGCCACCCTTGTCGCGCCACGGCGAAAACACGCGGCACAACTCGAGAACGCGCGGCTCATTCCGGAGAACAATGCCGGAAACAATAAGGCCGATCTCCCACCTCGTTCGTCTCCGTCGATCTCGATATACATCGCCGTACTGTATAAGCAACAGTAACAAAACGCGATTGGACACAATGGGGCGACGATGTAATTGCGCCCCACGTGGTGGCGACTGGTGCTTGTATGTACAAAGGGCACTCGACTATATGTTACAATCTCGATTTCGTCGCCACTCCTCGAAGGCCAGAAACGATGAGAAAAAGAGGAGAGAGAGAGAGAAGAGAGAGAGAGAGAGAGAGAGAGAGAGAAGAGAAGAG